TTATTCTCTGATACAATAAGAATTTTGTTAGATTTCTAGTGAACAGAATGGGTAGGACGTTACTTCGATAAGACAATAAGAGAATGGTTTCAAGACCACAGAAATACATTCACTGACAGCATACCCAGGTGGCAGTCAGTCAGTCAACTTAGGACCTAGCGCAAATATGGATCGTTCCAGTCCTTCGAACCCCAAATGAACACAGAAAAAAGAGAAAATTAACAAGATGGCAGCAGGGAATAGCAACATCAGACGCAACGGAAAACTAAGCATGAGAAACATGGATCACATCCAGAAAATAATGCTGAGCAAAAATTATGGATTTATAAGCTTGTCAGTAAATTCTACTGTGACCGATTCTGGACTTTATCAAATGTCTCCAGCTGTAGATCACGGCTATTTAGTGTTTTCAATGAGATATCAACGTCTTCCTATATGACCCAAACCAGAAAGAAATGCTGAATCGACACCATACACTGACCTCCTTGATCATAGTTTTCATCTAACCTACTCATAACCAAACGCCATTGCTCGTCACAGGCAATGACTAGGCATCACACGACCCAACCATATCAATTGATCTAGAGCTTCATCAATCGATCGGAATTTTAACCATACTCCTACAGTGATCTTGAGTGCTGTTATAGGTATGAGGGCAGTCATCACTTCCCGGTTGCCCACACCGTGGAGGAGTTCTTCTGTAGGTACTTGAAAAGGAAATTGGGTTAGGGGTGTTGTTAGTAACCTGAGAGCGTGACCTCAGTTCCCAAAGTGCAACTGTTTGAGGTCGCTCACACACGACCTTTTTGTGAGTATTTTTCGTGTTAGCTCCGTACCCTATTACCTACCTAATCGCTATTCATTCTTCGGAGACACCATACCCAATCAATGTTTCGAATACTCATGCAACTAATTACTAGAAGACTATCCATGCCTTCAACTTTCATAGGCATTAGATACTTATGGGAGCCAACATATTGGAAACTTTATTAGTCTTATATCCCTCTATAGTTATCATAGGATTATTTTCGACCATTGATACGCGATGACAATCGGTGATCGCGACCAGTCAAATAACATTACACCCGATCCCAGACTTACTAAATCATTTAGTCTATATGCAAGAATTTATGACAACATAATAATTGTGACGTTACATTTTTTATCTCTGTCAATGAGTGACCGTTGCTGCTACCTTGATGTAGTGGTCAGGCTTGCATATCATGATGAACCAATCGAGCTATACTGGCTAGAACAACCGTTCCTCAAAGTCCTACCATACCAGACAGGTCGGTTAAAGAGCGGTAAGACTAAAAGCAACAAATCCAAGGTCCGAAGGCAAAGTCGTAATGCTGACTGTTCAGAGGTATGACAGCAGTAAGGTGTTTCTTTTAGACAACCAGTATAACAGTGATGCTGTCTTCCCACAAGGATGGGTGGGGTTAGAATTGGTCGACCCTTAAGATGCACACCTCATCTTATCCCACGAATACTCGTCTCCGGTGGTGAGATCTCAATAAGTACGGAGCTAACACGAAAATTACTCATAAAAAAGGTCGTATGTGACCGACCTCAAGCAGTTGTCTCTTGGGCACTGTGGTCACGCTCTCAGGTCACTAAGACCACCTCTAATCCAATTTCCTTTTCAGGTACCTCCAGGAGAACCCTTCCACAGTGTGGACAGCCTGGAAGTGATAACCACCCTTATACCTCTAACAGCACTCAAGACCACTGTATTCATTATCAACCTCCCTCGTCAATTCATATTATTCCTCCCACCTCGACTTTCAACCATAAACTTTCTCTTTTGGCTTCCTCCTCAAGTGTCACCATAGCCAACGATTCCAGTGCGCAAAACACTGTCCCAAGTATACTGAAACCTCGCTTCAAACTACACATCGGAGCCTTCAACGTACACACACTATGTCAAGTCGGTCAGAAGGCCTCCTTGGCTAAAAACCCTAGAATCGCGTACCATTGATGTATGCTGTATCTCCGAAACACGTATACAGGATCCTAGTGCGGTCATTCCCTTAACCTCACCTCGCCGAGATGAAGAGCCTACGAGATACACTTTCCGTGCATCTGGCGGCCCGACGGTTAGTTCTCGTAGACTGACAGGTGTAAGCATAGCACTACGTACGAGGGCAGAGCAAGCATTATTAGAATGCGTGAGAGACTGAGGGTCCTGGGTTCAAAACCCGCGAGCGGGATCGTGGACATCCAGTGCGTATACGCACTGCTGAGGATTCCCACAACGAGACGAAACGGCTGTCCAGTGCTTCCAGGATTTCAATAGTAGTCTAACATCAATCGGTTCATGACCTCAATCAAAAGTAGCACATAAACCTTGTGCAGGCTCTTTACTCGAACACTACCAGTCGGGTCAGAGACTACGGTAAACTGCCATCTGACTTGAGAACCGCAAGTGCTGTTTGGAGAGGCTGGCCACCATCTCCATTGTTGTTTAGTTTCATCATAAGTCTATTACTGGAAATAAGGTTATCTTCGTCTGAATTTTCGGGACTCGATCTAACAGGAAGTTCACTTATTGACTTATAATATACACATGATATAGTCCTGTTTGGTGAAGACGCTGATAAAATGCAGTCTTTTCGTAGCACTGAGCAACAATGCCAGGATGTTTGGGATGCGTTTCTCTCCCTCTAAATGCAAACTGTTGCTTCAGGACTGGCTTGCGTCAACACTTGAATTAAGGATAGGGAGTGAAGTAGTCGAGCGCGTTGATGACTTCACTTATCTTGGGAGTCTGATCAGCCCTAATCGGTTGGTGTCTGACGAAATCTCATCACGGATTCGAAAAGCTCGTTTAGCTTTTTCCAACTTACGTCACCACCTATGCGAAGGCGAGATATCCGTCTATCAATAAAAGGACAAGTACACTGCGCGGCAGTTCTTTCTGTTTTACTTTATGGCTGCAAGACGTGGCCGTTAATAATTGAGGATACTCGTAAGCCACTAGTATTTAACCACAGATGCCTTAGAAATATTGCTTGCATCTGCTGGGATCACCAGGTAAGTAATGGTGAGGTTAGACGTAGGATATTATGAAATGATGGCAAATCAGTTGGTGAGGTTATAAATCTTCAGCGACTGAGATGGTTGGGTCACGCGTTGTGTATGTCTGAACACCGATTACTACGACGCGCAATGCTGGCTAGTGTTGGGGTTGGTTGGAAGAAAGTTAGGGGCGGCCAAACCAATACTTGGCACCAGTGCTTGAAGTCACCAACTTCTAGTCTGAACCATGTTGGTAGATGCAATCTACTTGGTTGTTGTCTGCGCGACTATCGTAACCAATGGCTGGAGATTGTGTGACATGGCTTAGAATCGATCACAATGGCGTAAGTGTATACACTCTTTGTCTTCCCTTAAACTGTGAGATTAAAAGCGCTTGATATCTTTCTACGTACTAATTCATTCTGCCCATACTTTATATGCAATCTTTCTTTTATATATTACCACAACTGAATTAACTACTTCTGTGAACCCGGTGTCCATCTTGTTGTGCTAATGAGGTATGGGAACTTGGACTGATGCACATATATGCTCGGTCCTACGTTGTAGCTGACTGATTTCCCTAGGAAATGAAGGAGTGATATCAATCTTTTATACATGCTTACGGTGAGTAGTGATGAGGAAAATAAAACTAACAGCTTTCGCCTGCTTCAAAATGCAGTTGTTTATGAACCTTCCATCTCAGGTTGATCAAGATCCGGAGTTTTCTTGAATGTTACCCATGGTCATTTTAAGGTTACTTAAAATGGATGTAATTCACAGACGCATCCAAGAGACAGAATTTCTTTGATGCCCATGTGAATGGTCAGATATAAATTCGCCCTCTATTGAGAAGCCATTTGCTTAAACCCCACAAAGTAGATTTCCCTATAAAATGCGAAAGGTCTACCTGAATAGCCTACAAATGAAAGCGAAAGACTGCTAATTATCTGTCTTATTCAAAATGTCATAGGTACTTAGTTGACATCAGATTATCTTTTAATGGAACGCAAGATACTAAACTGTTTACCGAATCCGCTAATCTATCCAAAATTAATGATACAGTACTTAATCCAGCAACTCAATACACAATCGACGGCTCCTTACTTTTCATAATCACTTTGAGTATCTCGTGGTGTAAAATACTGTCAAAGGTTATTGATGAAAGCCTGTATGCAATCAATATTTTAAATTATACAATACATCCCCATCAACATTTTGTCTTTTCTGAACATTCGCACAAAGGTGGATTTCTAGTGTCATCAAATGTTTCAAAAAAAATTCTAATATTCTGTGGATCATTTCACTTAAAAGGAACGAAAACTAAATTCCTATGGAACAGATATACCCGTAGTTTTTGATCAGAAACATACTTTTTAATTAAATATCAAACTATAGTACAGTTTGATGTTGAGAGATGTGTTAGACACACTTGTCAATACTTAACCTGACCTTTAATGGGACGTGAAATGTTTCTCCCAGATTACAAGTAAACTTCCATAACTTTCTAATGCGGGAAGAGCTTACGAACTATTTAATACATTTTTAAGTGAGCCTAAAAATGTTTCGTGAGATCTATAGCCCCTGACCTCTCTCTTATCTTTCTTGTTCACCAATGAACACACTCACTAGATAGATTCTTGTTAGTCTAGATTTCTCGTTTTTCCTGATCTTTCTCCAGGTCTCCCTAAATGTTTCAAGGCTATCAACTCAGTACTTTTTAGAAACATAATGGATTCAGGCTTTCAATCGTAAACAGAACTCCGTATTTCGGATGGCGTCCCAACTGTACAACTGAAGGGAAAATGATCTGGATAATGTACCTGATCCTGCTTACGAACACGAACTACCACATTCCTGATTGAAAGGTACTCAGGTAACGCGATAAAGGCTTTCGAAACTAAAAAATACGTCTTAACAATAACACAACCTAGTATAGATTTCAATCCAACTTAATAGAACTTGATCAACAAGAACAAATGATCGTAAACTATATTTGCTATACGAAGGTTAATGATGTTACTCACCTGCACAAGTAGATAGAAGCACAATACGCAATAAAACAATTGAAAGTCAACAACTCAAATCATTTAGATACTTCATAAACGAAAAAACATGCAGACGATCTTATTACCGAAGAGATGAGCAACTCCAAATTAACGGTGGATAGACGTAAAGTGTAGAGAGGTGACATACGAAAATCATCTCAAATTCAGTTTTAAATGTATTCAATCGGTTAGTGAAATATCTAATGGCAAGCTAAGTAAATTTTTTGGAAATACAATTATGATTATGCGAAATAAGTTAGTGACAGTTATTTCACATTCTATTCTTTTTAAATAAGAGGTTAGTGACGCGAAAAGAAGCAATGATACAAATGAGGAAATGAAAAGATCTTTCAACAACATATAAGTACAAATGAAAGGACAAAGCATAAAAAACATACATTTTGTTAAGCCGTCACATTTTGTTTAATGATAAAAAAGATTAACTCGAAAATTAGGATGCATTTTTCGCGATGTTCCGTTTACATGAAATTACAACATACAGTTACCCTTTTGATATAGTCTTTATCTTTACGAATAATGTTTTTAAATAGGATACTGCGGATTTAAATAAACTTAAGAAGATAAGAAGGGCCAAAGCAGAAATTACACTTAACTTGGAATGAAAACGAGAGAGAAAGATAAAATAAAAATTCAATGGCAAACGTAAACGGGCCCACAATTTAGAACATGCAGCAACGAATAATGAACATTGGGGGATTTCTTAAAACTATTTGGTATATTTTAGTGAATAGTCTACGGCTTGCAATCCAAATAAAAACTAGTTGGTAGTATTAGTCTCTTTTTCCCATAAAATCCTGTGAAATAGCTTCAGTAGCCTTCTTTTTAGCTGAAATTCAAAAGCACAAACATTTCATCTCATCACAATAGGAAGTATATATCCAAACAAATGAACTTCAGAAATACACAAAATCCTTTAAATATAACAATATATTAACAATAATAAAATATTAATATTATCTGGTCACAAAGAAGATAAAGACGAAATACAAATGCAATCACCAGAAGTTCGAGTGTAAAAAAAAAACATGAGAAGAGATACATAATTAGTGTTATAACAATTGATTTTGACCTATTTCGCCCAATGTTTTTGATCACAAAATTTTAAAGTCCTTCCCTACGTGATTCGGATTGGTAATTACCAATGAAGTAAGATCGTTTCATATTTAAAGCGTTTAACAGCCTTCCCGGTATATCTTTTCGCCCCCAAATGCCCTGGTACGGCCGAGAGTGGGGAGAGTCCACTCCCCCTCTCGAAATGCTCTCACATGGCCACGCGTATATAGCCTCTGCCAGGGAAGTCCTACTCACTGCCTTCTCGCACCACGGGTGTTGTTTACGAAAATGAGAGGACGAAATGCGAATGTCCGGAGCTTTAACCGGACCCCAAACCAATGGTGTACATGGGCTTTAGTACCCTGTGGGAACAGATGGAGTATGAACCAACCGTTGGTCATCGGCTACCATGGGACTGTATCTCCTTACGATGCTCCACTGCCTTGTGAGTCAGACGTCCAGGTCGAAGGCTCGGGGTGTGGCCCCCTAAGTAAACCACCTGCTTCGGTTTGGGCACCCGGGCAGAATCACAGCCCTCACACATATCAATTGAGATTTGTGTGGCGTATATGTATTTGGTGCCTCCTTGTACCAATATCTATGTGTTAAAATAAATAAATATCTCCTTTCAGTATTACCCATAACAATAACTTGATTCAACTGAACAGTTTGGCCAAATTTTTAGGTTAGTTGAGCCTAGACTTTTTTGGACCACATACATTTTCTTTGAAATGAGTTTAAATCTTTTTGACAAATATATAACTTTATACGCCTCATATGGATGCAAGTGCAAGTACCAACCGAATTGTAATATCATTTTATTTTCACCTCTACTAATTAAAGTATTGCCGGGAAAACATTGTCTTCCTGAACTAGTCCTACTAGTATACATCTGTTATCTTGGGTATGCAGACGTTATTATCTTACTGTGCGATGATACTCAAATCATGCAACTGCTACTTCACTAGTTAAAAACCAATGTCCGTATGAGTGTCATGCGCTTGACATCTTTTAAGTACATAGTACAAAACTGGCAGAACCAGTGCCTGCATTCATTCTTGGTTGTGAGCAGTTGGTAGTCGCAAAGTCTGTGTATTTGGGTAATTGTTGGTGATGGCGTGAGCAGTTTTGCTCAATGCTTGTGAAAACTAGCCTCACCGTATTTAGGATGTTAATTGATTGTGTTTGGTCACTGTTGTCTATGAAGGACTATCAACTTACAGTAGCAACATCACGCTAGTAATGTAGAGGTTCAGCAACGCGTGCTCGGGCACATTGACAATAATTCAACTGATGTCAATGTCTTGGAAGACCGACTTTGGTGACTTGAATATGTACCATGAACGTTGTCCCACAGAATTTCACATTATGCATTATTTCTCAGCGCTGGATTTGCTTAGAAAAAACAGTGATAGATTTATGACATGGTGTCATGGTTTGAAAAAAAGCTATACAGGAAAAGCATATGTTGGTCATTCACAATTCTCTAGCTGAAGTGGTTTGAGATGCCAAATATAACTAAGAATACGCCTCTGAGATATTCGGTTTTACAGCGATAAAACAAAACAGAGCAAAACGATGCACAGAAAACTCGTTAATTGGATGGTAGACGAATATCTCGCAAGTTGTCCCGAGATTTTGTCAAAAAACCCATCAAGGTTGATGAGACAGGATAAGTTAAGTGACCGATGCACTAAACTATTTCACCCCCTATCATCAATTCAGAAATTGATGCAGACCCGTCCAGAAGCAATATTTTGAATTTAGGAGAGGAATGCATCTCAAACATTCTACCACTGATAGTTAAGATGGTTAGAAAACTGTAATTTTCAGCTTTTGTCTTTGCCAGACGATGAGAGCGTTATCTCTTAACGAATGTACACGACAAAGTTAAATAATAATAGGGAATTCGTAAACTCCTGATAAGCACTATTTAAAGTTATCGATTCTGATGATGACTCATTATCAGCTCTGACCTGATCCGAAGTGTTTGAGTACAGGGATTGTGCAACACTGATATACTTTATCAGAACGCCTTTCGGTAACCATAAGACCTGTCAATTTACGGGGCCAAACGCTGCATTAATGTTAAAAAATAGAACCACAGTTGGGAGTCGGTGGGTACATCTGTGTTTAGGAATCTGGCGGAGGGCAAACATTAGGTCTTCACATCCGTTTAGTTTTGAAACCAGTTTGGTTTTCCCAAGTTCACTCTTCACGAGCCCTTGGATGATTATTGAGGCTAATATTCCATGTATTATGACAGTCGGACCGATTTCTCTGCTGTTACTGCAAAATGTATCTCCTCCTTTCTCATAGACTAGGGCGATCAAGATCGAGACCGGTCAGACGGAATTGCGTCCACTTCTCGGGCTCTAGCTAAGATCTTAATCCAACTGCCTTACACAACCTTGTCAGTCAACTTGTGGATGAAGTTTCCGTGAAGGAAGTACTGAGTACGATTGTTGTGGTCTGTTGTTATTCAGACCAACCTAGTAACCCAAAGATTTGAAAGTAAACGGTAATACGTACTACATATAACACATGTCACTTACCAGCATTTCCAAAATCACCAGCCAAATCTGATGCCTCATTAATAAACTTATCAATATTTTTTTCGTGAGCCAAAAAGTTAGGTCTAATAACTTTTTCGTAGATTAAGATAGCTCCGTTCGGTGATGTTGGGATCATCATAAACAAGAAAAATAAAGACTGGGTGGAGTAATTCACAGGTAAAAACAAACCTTTAGCAGTGAATACAATGGTATCCAGAAAAACAATACGTCAGTTAATGACTCGATAACACTGACTGTTGCGAAAACAACCCAGTAAGTGAGCCACTTTGTATCGTCCCCCTTATCAGACGTCTCTAATGCTTTGATCCTGAAAAATTTAAAGAATTTTGCGCAAGTTACGATCTGTATGCTGGATAGATAAATCCAATAAGGTTTGCAATGAAGCTCGTCCCATAACCGAAAATGAGGTACAGAAATATCAATACAGCACTTCCTGTTCATAAATTATACCCTTCAACACTATTATTACCAGTAACGATGTATAGCCTATCGACACCTGACTTTTGTTCCACCTTCTCCAATAAACCTGTGAACCAGTTTTTTTGTTTCAACGAATCTTCCAAGATTTTACGAGTACCCGCTAACTTTTCCATGTTTAGATCCTTTAAAAATACGGGTCGTTTTAAGGATGAAATTAATTTAAATAAAGCACCTAAATTATGAAGATGCACAACAACACATAGATATGATTTCGGGTTTTAGTGATAGAGATAGATTCTCAAATCAGTTACACTAACTATTATTACTTGTGACATTGATAGCATATTGTCTCGTTAACCGAGACAGGATAAGCCTGAGGTTCTGGAAGTTCCGGTTGGGAATTGTAATAGTTAATTGCAAGATACTATGAGGTTGAGATCCTAGGACAAGTCAGTTCAACTCAGAAAATGTCGGCAGTTTTACCGATACCATTAGAAGTTTTGTGCTAAATCAACCGGATCCAGTCAAATATGAGCCTGGCCAACACAAACTCTCAAGAATATGAACACAAGGGTAAATAAATCCCCAAACTCAATAACTCTGTAAGTCTTCGACACTTGGTGCTGACCATATTAGTTTTACTGGACTCACCTAATCAAAGGCTCTTGGTCATTAATCCGCACCAAAACATCAGCGGGTACTGCGTGCTTCACATCTGCAACCGCCAACCAGCTTAGATTGATCACTTCTCGATATATCGATATTTCATCAAATATATCTTTGCTTCTGACTTCCGAATTGACTGGGTTAGGGTATTTCAATTGTAAAGGTTCTTACTGGTTAATATGTTTTCAAACTCCGAATACTTGTAGCATCCTTGGTGGCGATCCCAACGTGGTCCAGTACACCGATTTCTAAACTGTCAATCTGTTCCTTTTTAGAGCTTTATCACTTGTTGCTTTGATTTTTGCATATTGTGATGATTTGTTAGTATTTTTGGATACATTTTGTCTCGTTAAATGCTATAATTTAGATTCATTATGACCGAACAGACTCCTAAATTATTTATGACCAAAACTCTTCTGCCACCCTTGTTTCAGCTAATACGATTTTGTTCCGACAACATCGATGCCTGGTTCCGTTACATATAAAGTGACTTCCACGAACACGGTGTGGCAGACCTACGTGCACAATTGCTCGGAATATTGAAGTCACTACCGAGTGTTTTCAACAGTTACATCATACCTAGTACGTTTACTAGTGATGTTTCAGAACCTTACATAACTCCAAAAAAAGCTATTCTAAAGCGCGAAGATCTCACCGATCGACAACGTTTGGACCAACTCTTCAACAACATCGATCTACAACATGACTCAGAAGCAGATATGTTTTTACGAATGAGAGGAGTCCTTGGTTAACGGACCTTTGACGATGGTCTGCTTAGACAGTTTTTATTGTCTAAGCTCCCCCAACAGGTGCAGGCGGTGCTTGTTCATTTGAAAACTACAGTGTAGACAGATTGGCTGCATCTGCCGACCGGATACTGGAGATCATCATAACTTCGGACGCTGTGGTCTGCTCAGTCAAACAAAAGCCTTAAATGATACGGAAAGACGTCACACAACTCTGCCATAGTCTGACACGACATCTTCCTATTCGTCATGACCTCATGCGCTCACAAACTGATCGAAGTTCTTCACGAAAACGACATGTCTCTAGACGATAGCAGACAGACCATAATAAGTATAGCAAGTCTTTTGGAAACTGCGGAGAAACCTGCAGTTTTAGGAGCTCCCAACCAACCGACACGATGAACGCTTCGGGTAACTTCCCGGCCGACAACCGTAACCGACGTACAAAGCTGTCTGTTATACACCATCGACCTGATGACAAAAGTTCGCTATCTTGCTAACACTGGGATAAAAATTAGCGTTCTTCATAAAGCAATTTACAACTTTCAGACGGAAAATTGGAAACCGGTCACCACATACAGTAGGCAATGTGTGTACCTTAAAGTGGGTTTACGCAAACCCACTCACTGGATCTTCGTTGTTGTAGATATTTCTATGCCAATCATTGGTATAGACCTACGACATCATAATTTACTCATCTACACGAGCAAACGGAAGCTAGTAGACGGAAATACGAATTTATGTTTATATAACTTGCTTTTACAGGTGTAGATTAACCCCAGTCACAGTAAGGCACAGGATCTATCCATGCCACCAGCAAATACTCGATAAGTACCCTGAGATATGCCAAACGCCACCGAAATTGCCGTGTGTAACCAGCAGTGTTGCACATCACATCACGACTACAAGACAACCTTTATTCTCGAAAGCGCGTCAACTAGCTCTCGACAAGCTGAAGTTGGATATAAGCGAATTCGGTCATATGATAGATTTAATAACCATGCGACTATCAAGCAGCTCATTAGCATTTCCCTAGCATATAGTCCCTAAACAACAGTAACTGTTTGCGTCCAACTGGCGACTGTCTGCGATCGAATGAGAAAACCACTCCTGATCGTTACCCGCTGCCTCACATTCATGATCTGACAGCTACTGTGAAAAGTACAACTGTTTTATCGAAGATCAACTTGGTTAAAGCGTATAACGAAATTCCCATGACTGAAGACGACATTCCCAAAACAGTATCATCACTCCTTTTTGAAATCTACGAATTTTCGCGAATTCCTTCTGGCTTAAGAAATGTTGCTCAAAATCTCCATATATTAATTGACGATGATTTTTAATGTCTCAGCCTCGTATATACATATGAAGATGACTGCTTGACAGCAAATCCGAACAGAGTATCTCTTCTCCAGCATCTGGATTTTGTATCCGAACGACTACGAAAAAACAGCGTTGCTGTGAATACTCAGGTATGCGAAGTCAGGGCTGAATCCCTGAACGTTCTCGGACACAGTGTTGATGCTCAAGGCATCTGTCTTCTGTAAAGAAAAGAAGTAGCCATTCTCTGTCACCCAAAACAGATCACAGTCAAGAAGTCACGCATGTTTAAAGGATTAATAATAATAATTTATCCTCAAATAACACTTGGTTACATGAGGCATAACAGTTTACAGGCAAGATCAAATTTTTAAAAAAATACAAATTTCACTGTAGTAAATTACTCAGTTGGGTTGATATTTTATAAGATATGAATATAAATGGTTTTAGTAAGGCCCGTATTGTTTATATCACGGTTGGCGCGCCTTATGAAGGTTGCCTTGCGACGTGCAACTGATGGTCGAGAATAAATCCATGTGGAGTTGGGGGCTTCTATAAGCCGCAACCTTATATCCATCTGGAATATCTGAGGCTTAATGACGGAGCACGACGAAGTCACCATTTCCATATCTGTTTTCGGTGGCATATCTCGAGGGGGCTGAAAAAGGATGTAAGAAAAGGAAAGGATGAGAATAAGAGCAGACATTGTTCACGGGGGAATAGTCAAGGTATTAAAGCTCAGCCAAATTCTCTTTTATTAAGATACTTATTAAGCAAGAGCATTCTGATATGTTAAAGAAAATGATTGTAAACAAGGTATGAATGGATAAAGCACCGTATGAATGATGGTGGATCAGAGAGAAGCTGAAAGTATAAGATCATGTGTAGTTATAAAACGTAGTACTGAAAACAGTACTGTAACGACCGAACTACCAGTATTCCTTTTGAACGCAGGACTGACGAACCAAAACGTATTCGAATAGGTCAGACTACGATCTGTCGAATTACGGTCTACTATGATATTAGCACTGCTCTAATTATAATGGACCTAATCCTAAACTTCCACATTTGTTATCATGTAACTGCCTAATCTATAAGATCTCACGTGCAAATCACATCATCGTCTACACCAACTCACTGCATCGTAACAATTACCAGTACATGATGGAGAACAATCCTAGGCTAGAGATAGGACAATATATATTTAATATGAATAAAAGATATAAGGTAAAATTCAGGAGGGGCCACGTCTGCATGGCCGAGGCATGCTATACGATCTACCCCGATTAGTTCAATTCCTTATTCCCGCCTACTCCAGTCTTCTGTATTTCCCAGCGTTAGATGTTGAATGTCTATTTTTCGTATTGTATCGTGGTAGGGCCCAATACCACTACAGATCTTCTGTATAGCCCGCCAAGCACTTTTGAGACACTCGTATTAAATTATATCAAAATACAAACTCTGGGCTCAATTTATACGGTTCTAAGTTAGGAAATAGAACAAATTATATCAAAAATACAAAAGACCTCAAACGGCACAGCCTGTTCTATACAGTCAGAAGTTTCTTTAACGCAAAGTAGTGTGCTAAACAATAAAAGAAACAGTCAATACCAAGGGATTTGATACCTGAGAATCAACAAATATATTCCCAACAAACGGGATCAAATATTTATCTGCAGGGATTCCAGAAATCCTCCCAAGCAGACAGTCAAAAGGTTAACAGTCACACACTAGATTACGCCGTGACCTTGAGCTTAGTCAAACACGACCTCACTGTCAATAGTCTGGCAACATGCAATAGAAAATTAGGCAACGAAAAGATAAGTTTTTAGTCAAAATCATATAATAAAAGCTCAAACGATATCTGAACAAAGGGTAAAATATATGACAGGGAGAAGAAACAAATAAACAAAAATACTGTCCAACAAAAAGGTTTGTGGAGGGATTTTCACCGTTCTCTTTCCGTTACACCGGCCCCCCAAATCCCTCCAACTACGCAAAGACACCTTAGAATACATTCCTGTCATGGCTCTCCTTACTGACTGCTCTATATCAATGGGAAGCACAGGACTTACAACAGTACGCCTGTACATCCATAAACCTAACCTACAGTCTGCTGCTATTCTGCCCCCTACGGAAATCAACGCATTCGTAGCTTCTCAATAGGTTCTCCTTCTCACTAAGACTAGTAACTTACTATAAAACAAAACGTTGTCCGGAGGTTTGCGCTTGAGTATGTTCCACAAATAGACAGAGGAACTGCAGTCTGTCTCAGTCAGGATGTTTATCATAAAGTCGGTAAGATCTCTACCAGCAAGGTCCAGACACGAAATAACATAAGGCAATGCATAACCTTCATAAATCAAAACTGTGTCAGTCACGCCCTCACCTGAGTCCAACACTATACCAGTTGTACGACCAGATGCATACAGTGACAACACCGCTTGAATAGCAACATAC